TTATAATAATACTTTTAACTAATTTATCCGTGACCATCTATAATAATTAATCGTCCAACTAAAATTTTCAAAATCTCACCCAATTCCAAACCCAACTTTATAAAATCACCCCAAAATCCAAACCCAAATCCCGATCTCAAGACATCATAAAATCGTACCAAAACATAATCCCAACTTGTTATAAATCTTGAATCCTAAACTCAAGAGATTTTTGCCATTAAGTATAGATAAATGTGATATTTGCTGCTAATAAACCCGAACTTATTAAAGAATCAAGACATAAACCGAAGCTTTAATTTATGGCTGGCAAACCCTACATGCTATATAATTAGTAATAAACATTCACTTCAAACGAATACAATAAGATAATCTTAAGTGAAAATTTCAATATCTTTACTCTTTAGCATGATCCAACGGATTTGGTGGATTTCCCCGACAGCCACTTCCCCAAAATCCAAACCCAAATCCCGATCTCAAGACATCATAAAATCGTACCAAAACATAATCCCAACTTGTTATAAATCTTGAATCCTAAACTCAAGAGATTTTTGCCATTAAGTATAGATAAATGTGATATTTGCTGCTAATAAACCCGAACTTATTAAAGAATCAAGACATAAACCGAAGCTTTAATTTATGGCTGGCAAACCCTACATGCTATATAATTAGTAATAAACATTCACTTCAAACGAATACAATAAGATAATCTTAAGTGAAAATTTCAATATCTTTACTCTTTAGCATGATCCAACGGATTTGGTGGATTTCCCCGACAGCCACTTCCCCGACAGCCCATTTCCCCGACAACCCATTTCCCCGACAGTCTATTCAATCCATTTTGCCGACAGCTCTTCTCAGTTTTTTATTTATAAAGTTATAAAACTTTATCCGATAATTTATGTGATATTGCATAATTACCGAGATTAAATAAAATATAAATTTAACTGTACGATTGTCATTTATTTTATAAATATCTTATAAATCACCCGTGAGACTATTATAACAAAACAAGATTAAATTAAATTGATTTGATTAGGTAATTATATTAAATTTTTTTGATATCTTGATGCCACACATGTGCTATTATTGTCTAGAGAATAGCAAATTAAATATTAACTTATTGATAAATAATTCTACGTATTATATCTTAGTTTTACAGTAAATTGAACATTTTGTTAATGGCGTTACTCTATTGATCGGTATTTTGTAAGAAGCGTGGGTGCAGATTTTTTTAAAAAATATATATGTATATTTATAGTGAAGGGCTTGTCCGTACATACGTGCCTAGTTACGTAGATGCAGGTTTTTCCTGTGATTGTTAAGTGTCTACTTTTCAAAAATCTGTCAAAATTGAATTTGCTAAAAATAAGCAATTTAATGGTACTGATAATATACTATTAAAATACAAAATTTTGCCATTATAAACACTTTATTAGCATTTTATTACATTTTAATTTTACAAATATATTTGTCAATTATTATGCTAATAAAATGCTAATATTAGCAATATATTATCAAGATTTTAGTAATAACAAAGGCCTAAAAATTACTATAATTTAACTAATTTATTAGGTATTTAAAGGTGCTGATAATGAAATAATCTTTTAATAAATTATTAAAATTGCTAACTTAGTACTAATAATACACTATATATTGCTTATTATAAAGTAGTTATAATTACTCAGTATTTAAGGATCGATACGTGGGAGGCTCTATAGCAAAAGGTGGTGATGGGCCAAAAAAATTTTTTTTGATATTGTTCTAAATGATCTAATTTTTGCAAAAATAAAGTTTTTACAAAAAATTTTTTTTTGGCCCACCACAACCTTTTGCTGTGGGGTCCCCACTTATAAAGTAAAAGAGTAATAACGAATATGATCGTGAAGAACCTTCACGATTTGAAGTAATGAAACAATAATAAATACAACAC